GGGTTCTCCAAACATGGCAGACGATTCGGCCAAAAATATAGTCGTGGGGCGCGAATCTCGCAGGATGTATGGGATTGCAGAAACCGATAAGACTACAGAGTACCGTAGATGCAGTTATTGCCCGTAGATGAATCAGATAGGTCCTTGTTTTCCCTGTTAGGAAACACAGCGTTGTCAGGAGACTAAGACTTAGGAGCAGACTCGTTAAACTCAAAACTGTGATGAGATTGGAAAGAGCGTCTCCAATTAAATCAATTTTGGGGCATTCCCAGTAAGGCGTTTCCATGTTATATCCGAGATAAAAGGGTGTCGTTGATACGGAATTATTATGAAAATATCTTCTGAATATGTGACATAGTTATATATAAGTTTAATACTTACAGTGCAGCAGGTTGGAATCATGCGTAACGTGTCAGCACCTAATTTGGGCGTTATCTCTCTTTGTAGGCGATGGCTTCCTGTAGAACAATCAGAGTCTATTTTATACGTGAGCGTAGCGTGGCTATTGGTTGGGTGTTCTGAAGTTTTATGTACGCGCAGTAGCTTCCCCCAAGCTTATATTCGACGTCCTTTTATCTGGCTTTTGACTTACTAATCTCGCACTAATTGCCTTTGTTGGCTAATTCGTATCTTTTAACGCATGTATGCGCAAGTTTCCTCATCGCGGCCTGTGCCTCTGAATTGGCAAGCAAATGAATTTGAAAGCCTTCAATGGGATATTGTTTTAAATTTGGCATACTCCATCGCCTTAATATTGGCATTTTCTGGAAGTTCGGCAAAACTGAAGGATGAAAGGCTTCTGATCTAGGACAGTAAAACCTTATATTAATAGTGTCTTCGTCATTGTGGCCGGCACGCAATTAGGTTCTGCTTAGCACAAAAATATGAAGGCAATCAAACATCAGCATATTGAACGCCGCCCATTTTTGTTTTCGTTTATATGAAATTGCGTCTATTTATGCAGAACATGTAACTGCATTATTTAGTTCATCAGCAAGATTAAAAATAACGGCAACAATCTATGGTTACATGTATTTCGGTATTTCATCGCCCTTAAAACTACTCAAGAGTAGGTTTATTTGAATAGTGTGATGAGATATTTGTTGTATGGCCCAATTTTCAGTCATGGGTAATTTTGAAATGAAGCAGTCAAAAGACGAAAATATTTCGCACTATATCGTCATTTTTACGAGCACATTATATATTACTATAAAAGGGGAAAACGCATATGTAAAATTACTGTCTTTTTTAATTTTCAGCAGATATCCGCCAACAAGATACTTTGGTAAATTGTTGTTTAAAGAGGAAGCTTGTTAAAAAAGAATTTTAATTTAACTAAGTAAATTTATTATCACATTGTGCTGTCGACCTTCCTGTTTCTCCGTTAGGGGACTTCATTTTGTATAAGATTATGATAAAGGCCGAAAGTTCCATCGGCGTACGAATGCCAAGAGCGTTAGCTTACGTCTCTGAAGAAGAACCCGCGACGGATGTTGAAAGGTCAGAGAAATAAAATTCTTGTCCGGGCGATGGAATCTTCTTCTGTTCAGTGCCAGGAACACAAAAATTCAATAAACGCTGTAAACAAATTTCATCTTGATGCGTTCGATGAATACATAGATCATAGTCCACATATTGGGGTAAAGATTAAAATATTTTATAATTTCTTGCGCATTCGCTCCTATTTTAAGGACCATCTGAAACGCACCGTACTACAAACAACAGAAATAGCACGCTATTTATGTGCATGCATATTTGAAAATATCTGGAACCAGCTTAAATGATTAACTTAGTGAATAAGCTCAGCATGTCTAAAGGCAAGTGATATTTAATATTTTTCCCTGTATTCGATAGTATTTTCTTCGTCCGAATAACTTCCTGCCGAAGGGTAAATTGCACCACTATTATATGCGCTTTCATAGGTTGCATGTTATTTGTAGAAACACGCAAAAATACAATGAGGTTCATTGGCAAGTATCAATAAATGCGATCTAAGTGGCAAGAAAAGGAGCTCACTGTCTAATAGGTGGAGCATTGGAATCTACTTAAAAGTTAGCGAAATGGCGCCTCAAATCTTGCATTACCTGGTGCTTGTAGGACTGGCTACTGGAGGAAGTCAGACAGAAATGACCCTTCCAGTCTTTCTTATATTTGCTGGCACTGATCCACATTAAACCACTAGCCGCTAAAGGGCTGACATCGAGGCTCAAAAGTAAGCCCTAAGGCAAAGGATGAGGAATACATTTCGCTAGCAATCGGTGAATGCTCATCGCAAAATTTTTTTCAGTTGAAAATGTCGGCCGCCTAGGGCGCTCGTAGACTACGTTTCGAGTAAATTCGTTTTGTTTAAATGTTCACTTTCTTTCACTTATCCTTCTCTTGCTTAAGTAAACGTACTAAAAAAGGTATTTAAGCAAATGCAATGCTTCTCAAATGCACTTATGTCGACTGCGTTTACTTTCGCTAGCTTGTCAACATAGATCAAAGTTGTGCTGATTAAAACGAGCGTAAGGGTTGATCTCAGGGCACCAGCATAGATGGTTTGCGATGACTCTGTAAAGCACTTAGTTATCCACTGTAGCAGTGTGTTTCAAATATAACTCATATATAAGAGTTTCCAAATTATGAAATATTTACGAAACCAATAAAAGGGATTTTTGATTAGAAGATATGGCTCATGTAGCTTTGTATTAATCATGAATTTGCAGGTTGTTGGCAAGAAATTTAAGCCACGTGAGCATACCGACGCTCATCGTTCCTTGTTCCGAAGTCCTTGCTCAAGGCCTGCTGCCGCAATATCATGTATTAGCACAGTGGGTGCTTTCAGGTCCACCGACCTGCAGACACTTGACCAACCTCCATTCCTATGAGGAGGTTTGACAGATTTGCTTAATGTGAGTTAACCCAATTGTGAAAAGGTCAAGGCATTCGGTGGGATTTGAACCCGCATAGTAGAGAAGGCCTTAACCGGAGGCCAACGATTTTACCAGTGAGCTTGGGCAGTCAGCTTACTGTTCCGTATTGGTGGATTCCTACCGAGCGGTAAAGTTGGGCGGGTAATTAGTTAGTTAGAGCGTTAACTTCCGGTAAAGGCCTTCTCTACTACGCGGGTACAAATCCCGCGGAACTCCACGAATTTTTCACAGTTGGGTCAAATCAACTTCCATTCACTACCCCGGCCTTTAAACTAGCTAATTTTGGGCCGTTTGTAGAAGCGCAGGTTATATTTATGGACTATCCGACTGAAACGACTTTTTTACTATTGCATTTTTATGGCCTAAGAAATTTACATGAGATTCTACATTATATGAGACAGCTAATGCATATTTATGATTGCGTTTACCGAGGACGTTTTATGTCACGACGTACAAGTACAACCGCCATGCACTTGCATGTCTTCCACCCCCATATTCTCGCGTATCAGCCATTGGGATTTTTGTTGTAACGATGGCCGAAACCGCGTTATCGTCGACTAACTACGCCTTGTGGGAGC